CGGCAAAACCAAGAAAATTGCACACGAAATTGGAGTTTTCGAGTTGAAAATTGGAAGTCGTGCGCCTTTGCGCGCGTTGCACCCGTCGAGGCAATTAAAATGTTGAGTCCGGACTTGAACTCCGGTCCTCAGTTCCTCGTCCCCAGTGGCTGCCCCATTATCCTGCCGCAATTTTCCCCGCACTCCACATATGTGGAAAAGTGGCGGGGAAAACAAATCCAAGCTCTCTATTCACTCGGCAACGGCGGCAAAAAAATATATATATATTTCGCCCCGGCCGTTTGATACCCAGGAAAAGTCGTGGAAAAGCGACATCAATTTTCAAGGCAAACAGGGGGGAGGGGAATCAATCAACTGGTTTATGGAAATTCGCTTATGGCATGTGACGAATTTTTATTATATACATTTTTTATTGCTCAACTTTGGTTCGGGAATTTTCTTCCCTAATAATTTGTTATTATTTTGGGTATATAAAAATGGTTTCTGTCTGCAGAGGAGAAAATATTTATAAGTAAATATTATACATAATTACACTAAATATAAAAAATCTCAAAAAATTAATTAATTTTAACTTTAAGCAAGCCTAAGCTTTTCCATTAGTTTTGTAATCTTTTCCACTTAAAATCACTTACAATAAAGAGACACAAGTGAGAGGAAATCAATCAAAAGTAAGGAAATGGGATGCCTTTTGATTTGATTAAGTGCAACACACTTCGAGGACATTCAACTGGGGCAAAGGATTATCGATGATGATTGATTCAATGCATTTGTGAGATGTAAAATGTGCCCAAGTGCTGACAGGTTTTAATCAAACGAGTGCTGCTGGTGGGATTTGTGGGATTAACTTGAGAAATTTTAGAAAACGAAGAGGGAAAATTATAATTCCGCAATTAAAATAAGTTCTTTTTACTTTTAATCCAAAGTTATCTAAGTTCTTTAGGCAAATGTGGTTCTTCTTTCTTGAATTCCCTGATTAAATTAGCCTTCTAAATTTACGAAAATCCTGTTGTGGGACATATTTACTCATAGCTACCCCAAAGTGCATTAAAAACTAACAAAAAATTTCTGTTTTTTCTTCTGTCATTGCAGGTGAGTGCAGTTTCTTTCATCTTCATTTCGGTTCGTTTCATTTCCCTGGACTAAGCCGAGCAAAAAATAGAAAAGAAAACAGGGAAAAATAAAAAAGGAAAACAGGGAAGACGGTAAAATAGAAAAAAGCCGAAACTTTTTTCGTACAACTTTGTTTGGCTTTGTCTGTGGCTCGGCCGTAAGTAAGTAAAAGCAAATTTTTTCCCTTTTTCCGGATGCGTTTTCCTTTCTTCTGCCATATTTTCCGGTGCGAGTGTGTGAGTGAGTTGGGAGTTTTGGGGGAGCCAGAACCAAATATGTCAATGATAAATGGCATAATCTTTTTAGCCCACAACAAACTTGCACAAAGCAAAAGCAAGCCCCGCCTTCTTCTCCGTTTGCCCCTCGGCCGTAATGATAATGCACAAAAATTATGCTAATAGCTTAATGCCATCGCACTTAAGCGCTAAGACAGCAGCGCCCAAGATGACAGCGCCCAGACGACATCTCGTCCTCGGAAAGGAGTCGTGATTGTGCCTGGGTGCCTTTGCTTATACCCTCCCGGGGGGTTATATTTACTCGAGGTCCTGAAATCTCTAGTAAATTAACAGTGAAAAAATATAGTCCTCAGAAGTCTAATGAATTTCATTTTTAAATCAATTTTGAAGGTGCTTAGAATTATGCTGTGAAAATGAAACAAACTTGAAAAATATTGTTGCATACTTTTAGACACCTTTTGGGGATTTTCATATACTTGTGTTTTTCCTCTCGGTTATTGCACTTTTTTTAAAGATAAAAGATACAAAAGTGATTTTAGATCCTTGCTTTAAAATGATATTTAAATACTGCACATTTTCTCGTAATTTCTTTGACTTTGTATTTTTTTGGCCCATTCATTTTGTATTTTCTCAGTATTAGGGTATCCCCCATTCGTTGCACTGCCACGAAGATGGCATTAATTTAGTTTCGCCAGCCTTCTGTTGTCGTTTGTCTGTCGACGCTTCCCAAAACTTGGCTTCACTTCTGGTTCTCGGACTTTGGGATTTGGACTTTGCTTGGCCAGTTGTGTTAGCTGACCCCAACACGGGGCATTTTGGCAGCTGGGACCACAGCAACAGCAACAGCAATAGCAACAACAGCAATTGCAGTGGGCGCAATTGCTTTTGGCCTGGCCGAAAGAGAGAGCTTTTGGGCCAAAATGGGATAAGAGGTAAGAGAAGAGGCAAGAGGCAAGAGGCAACGGCAACTTTTCTGGCCTAATGTGCGACTCCAAATGGCCGTTGCCGTTGCACAGAAACTTATGGCCAAGCGAAACTTTCGTGAAAGAATCATTTTTGGATTGGCACAGATGTGACAAGAGGATATACACAACACAACAAGGATGGATTGAAGTGGGGGGATTAGGATTCGAGCATTCAAGGATTCGAGGAAATGAAATGATCATAAATCCAGGCAGGAAAGGGAAATGTGCAGAGCAAGATGGACGGGAAAAGCTTTCAACCGAAATCTTTGACATTTCATTTTAGAATTTCGAAACAGGAATTTAAGAATATCCATTAGGAAGAAGCTTTAGAAAGGTTTTAAAATATAAAATACCTGAAAGATATATGTTTCTTTTTTTGGTTAGCTTGAAAAACCTGAAAACTGTTTTTAGGGAAAAAACGTGGCCAACCGAATGGGAAAATTAAAAAGAAATGCTCAAGTTGTGTCTCGCAAAAAGGGGATTGTAAAACTGGGCAAAAATAGAACAAAAAAAGGGAAAGAGTGTTGCAAAAACTAGATAACAAAAAAAAAACGGAGCGATGGCAAAAGGCGAGGAGTCCCAAGAGCACATGAAAAACGATTTAAGCGCTGCGTCAGCGGAAGAAATGATTTTTTAAGTACGCACCCAAACAAGCGGAGAAAAATTGGGAAAACCGGGAAAAACACTAATAGTGAGATGCAACAAATAACGACCAAATATCCATCACCGCCAATGCTCAACGAATATTAGCGGAAAATGCGAGGGAAAACGCGGAAAAATACTGGGCACAGCTAAATGATTTTGCGGGAAATCACTTAGCAGACCCAGAAGCACAGGAAAAGTGCCAAATCAGCTGAAAAGCGCAAGACGCAAAATTCGGAAAAGCAAAGTCGATGAAGATGAAGCCGCAGACGAAATATTAAATGATTTGCAGCAGATTTTCCAGATTTTCCGCGCACATGCAGCATGTTTGAGTGTGTGTGTGCCTTAGGGACATCATAAGCAGCCAAAGGATTCGGATTCGTATACGGATTTGCAGGCCAAAGGCAGCCAGAGTGCAAATCGTGTTGGGCAGCAGCAAAGGCAGCCAAAGTGAAAAGTGCAGCGGCCCCCTTTGCACATGGGAGTTTTCCGAGGGGCTTACGCCTTTTTCTGATGCCCTGAAATTGGGGATTTCGAAGATATTGCATCACATTACTTCTCATCGAACATAAATATTATTGCCAAACTGAAATTTAAAATTTAGGAATTACAAGGGCTTAGAAATCACTTCTGCAAGAGCCTAAAAGTATGTGACTTCTCTATTGAACAAATATGTTGTTGCATACTTTTCAACACCTTAAGTTGAAATTCTCAGTTTAAAATACTGCAGCTGATTTAAGGTTTTCTTGGGATAGTATTTCTTTCATAAAAAGTATATCTTACGAACCTCAGTTAATCAACTTTGCAACAGAGTGCACAAGAAGTGGGGCAATGCCATGTGCAACCTACAAAAACAGCAGTACCATCGTACCACCCCACCAGTCCACCAGTAACCAGTAACAGCACCCATATTAACACACACGTAGAGAGATTGCTTTTGGAGTTTATTGAGCCTGACATTTAAGGCACCAGAGGGATGAGGTTGGAGGGGCTGAAGGGTTTCGGGCCAGTTCATTTCATTGGCATTATGATTGGAAGCTGTCGTCGTTTGCCTCAAATTGTGCAAGTTATGTGGATGTGGTGGCTGTGGTTCAGTGCCCATTGGATGAGGCTGCATTCGAGGATATCCGAAAATTTCGCACAAACGGAAATGACAAAAAAAAAGAGGAGCGTACGTACGTATGTAGGAGGAGGGTTAAGTTCAGCACTCAATGCTGACCGCAGGTCAACGAGGGCTATGGTGGGTTAAGAGGGGGTTACAAGAGGGTTTGGTGCACAGAAAATAAATTTCGAAATAGAAATAGGGTCATTATGATTCAAACATATCAAGTTGATATTTTATCATTTCACCATAGTTATAAAAAGTATGTTTTAAAAAACCAAATGTAGTATTTTTTGAACAAATATTGTAAAATAAGATTACCAATCTTTATTTATTTCAAAATGATATGAATAACTTGATCTTTAAAAAAATTATTTTAATGTGATCTTTTTGCCAATTTTCTTTCTGTGTAGGGATAGTACACAGTGAGAAGCGATACAGAGAGACACTGGCAAAAAGAGCCAAAGAGCTAGAGAGCCAGACGAGGACACATTTGCCACATCAGCAAATGATGTGAAAATGTCATTTCCAGGCGCAACTGCCAAAGGTAATGGCCAAAAATGGGACAAGGGGTCCAGTGTCCTGGGTTCTGAATTCTGGAACCAAAATCCCCAATCCCAGTTTTCCAGAATCCCACACACACATGGCACTAAATTTGTGGCAAGCGAGCGAGAAAAAAGGTCCACAAACTGCGAAACTAATGATGGGTAAAGAGGAATGGGATGTTGGGTTCGGGTTCGAAGGGCGGTCCTTATCAAATTGCGCATACATGAATGTCGCACAGCTTCATCAGTGCGATGATATGCCCCTCCCATGCACACATTTCCCACTGAATGGCAGCAAATCAAATTTAATTGAAGCACAAAAATCTGTTGCCTACTTTTGCGGGCAATGGAACAATTGCGTGACTTCCTGTGAGAATTCCTCCTCCCTCTTCCTCTATTTAACCACTGGCAATTGACAGCAAGGCTACTAATTTGGTTAAATGTTTGATTGAAGTTTGGCCAACAGCCAACGGGCCAATAGGTTTAATTATATCCGGACTGCTAGGTTGGGACACGAAATTAATGATTGGCCTTTCAGGGATTTGTTGACTCTACTTACATGGTTGTTGGCGATTAGGTGCCTTTCTTGATAAAAAAATATATGAAACCCAATTAAGAAATTAAGGATCCTAAGATAGAATCTTGCTATAAATGAAATAGAAAAAAAAGAGAAGCCCCAACGTAAACGTGATCGACGTATAAAGAAGGCCCATTTCTGGGTCCGTTTCTAGGTTTGATTCCATGGTCTCGATTTCCTGCTCAGCCAGCTTCACGCGCATGCAGTGATTGGTGAAGATCTGCAAATTCACCTGAATCGCATGATTAATCGTCTGCGCGTAATGAAGGTAATTGTAGAAAGTGTGGAAATTGCCTGATACCACTTCTTCGTAGATTTCTTCGAGTGTTTCGCGAGGTATTCCCATTCTTTCGAGCAGAAGATCCTCCAGTGTATCGCTATTCTGGTTGAATCCGTTCAGCTTACGACGTCTATCCCTTCTACACGGTTTCATCAGGCGCAGCAGGATTCTACGTAGAATGCCCTCATGCAGGGGCGTCAGATTGTATTCTGACGTGCGCGATATTTCCAACATCCTGAAAGCGTCTACGTAGTCGCCGTTGCACATTACCTTCATTATACAATCGGATATTCTGCGCTGTCTTTTGAGACGTTTCGCACGCCGCTGAGACATCGTAAAAAAATAAAGAAATTTTAATAAATCTGGGATTTCTGATTGGCTTGTACAAGCGTTTTTCAATAAGTTTTAGCTCTGACTTTGAGTTCTTGGGCTGCTTTGATTTTATTCTTTTCATAAGAAATCAGTGCATTTGGTAAAATCCCCTAAAAGGGTGTTTAAAAGTAGGCAGTGAAATATTTATATCATAGGGTAAGGCGATGTTCTTTTTTTAAAGCATACTTTTAGTCACCTTTTTAATTTTTTTTTTCCAAATTTCTAAATTGTTTTACTATTTTAATTTAAATAAAATTCCACATAAAATATTAAACAGAAAGAAAAATTCCCTGTACCATTTTATTTTCTCTTTTCCGTATTTCGATTTCATTCCATTTATTTTATTTTCACCCAAGACTTCATCTCCGTTCTCCGCCAGCTTTTTGGTTCACTTAAGTCCAGTCCATTGACCCCGCATTGTGTGGATTTGGACTCTTAGACTCATGGACTTGGTCTTGGATTTTTTCTTTTTCCGCAATTAATTTGGCGATTTACTTAATTCCTTTTCCTGTCTCTCGACCCAATTAAGAGTGTGTGCCGTTGCTCTATTTTCGATTTCTATTTCGATTTTGATTGATGCATTCCGCACGAGGACGTGAGAGGCTTTTGCTTTGGGCTCAAGTTATCCGCATTACTCATACGAGATTTCACTTAATCAAACTTCAAGTTGCGTTTTCATCAGCATTTTCCGGCCTCTTTTACTGGTTTCTCCTTTGGGCCATTTCATTTGCATTCCTCACTGGCGTTTGTTGCTGTTTTTTTTGTTTGCTGTTGTTGGCCAAGCAACAAATGATGCGTAAGAAATGCTTTAATAAACAGGGAACCAGTTTGGTTTTTTTTCTGTTTTTTTTTTTTTTGGGATGGTGGAAGGAAGATGGTAGTTTGCTTTCCGGGCCATTTGGCTGGAAAGTCTTTAAGTTCTGGGTCCCCGTATATACATGTATACGTTTAGTTTTCCGGGGGGCCGCACATCTATTCCGTTTGTTTAAGGGCTAATAAATATTTTAGCTGGGGTGGTGCGCAAAAATATGTTTGCAGCAGTTGGAAACAAACGAGCGAGCAAACGAGTTGAGTAAATCAAGCCGCACTTCCGCTTCCAGCTGGAGGGAGCTTGGGTCCCGTGGTGGTGGGGGGTTTCAAACCCCCTTTAAAAAAAAACCCCTTAAAAGCAACCCCAACCCCCTTTTCCCTGCCCTTGCTTGTCGGCTGTCTGCTTTCTAACTGAATGAAAGCCTTGGCGCGTTGACTGATTTCGAATGGATTTTCCACGCTTTGCATGTGTCTGTGTGTTCGAGTGTTTCTCTCTGTGTGTGTGTGTGTGTGTGAGGCACAAAATCCCGTAGGTGCAAAATAGCGCACTCCAGGCAACGAAGCATGTGCACATTTGCGTTTCTTCTTTTTTTTCATCCTTTTCTGCCGACTCTGTGTCGGTCCTCTGCTCCTTTCTGTGTTTCATTTGTTTTGTTTCATTTTTCACCATGAACAACAGAAGAAAGGGTATCAGGGGTATACCAGCGAAAGGGAAATTTGATCGATCAAGTGGGCAAATTAGAAAATAAAGGCATAAATACAACAAAAATTTAAATTCTAAAATCTTATTATTTATTAAAGATTTAAAAATGTAGAAAATGAAATTGTTAAGCATGAAATATAGAATGAAAGGCTTTTACATTTTAATTTAAAAATCATTTAAATTAAATACAATTAAAAGTTAAAGTATTTAGTAAAGATTAACAAAAATAAGGAAATTAAATTTTTAAAAATGAAATATCAAATAAAACCTTTAAATTCAAATTTAAATTGAATAAAAAATCAAAAAAACCTTTTAAAATCATTGTCTTAATATTTAAAAATGTTTATTTAATTATAATAAATTTTTCGGACTTTAAAAGGGACATTCAAAGAGTCGAGCTGCCGCGAATTGCACTCCTTTTTTTGGCCTGGTCCTCGACTGAGGTTTCATTGAGACCATTGTTGTTGCTGTTGTTTAAGGAACAAGCGGCAGAAGACGAAGCTGACGAAGAAAGAGAAGAAAGCGGAGAAAGGGGTTGAAGAGGGCGGGAAGTGGGGTGGCCAAGGAGAAGAAGGGGCAAAATTGTGCGGCAAAATAAAATAAACAAACGTTTGGACTGGGATTGCTATGGGATGGGAATGGAGCTCACTCTTTGTTTCTTCCTCCTTTTTTTTTTTAAATTTTTTGTTTATTTTTTTTATTTTTCCAGCGATGTGCTTAAGCGGAAAACAACATTTTGCTTCTGGTGTTGCAGGTTGCAGATTGCAGATTGCATGTTGCATGCTGCCAGTTGTGGCGGCTGCGACTGACATTCGGGGCGACTTATTGAGGTGTTAGGATAAAATCATTTTCAAAATTGAATCTTAAGCAGAGAAGAACAACAAAGGAGAGAAAAATGACAAAGAAGAGAGGATTTAGCGGCTACTCTTTGGGCCAATGCGGCGTATACGTGATTTTGCGTATACGTTGATATGGCACTGTACACACACACACAAAAGAAGCGTGATAATCAAGAGAAAGAAGCGAAGCTGATTGCTTCAGTTTGCAATTTACTCGTCCCCAGATATATATAACATAATACGTATGTGGCGTTCAGAAGACTTGATTTCTGATCATATATCAAAGCTGACCGAAAACGGAAGTCCCTACAACAGCTGCTTGTCAGTGTGTGTGTGTGTCTATGTGTACTGGTGTCCTGTTGATTTCCTGTCTTGCCAGCTGCCTTGTGTGTGTGTGTTTGTTGTATATAGGTTCCTGTTCCTGAGAACTGAATAATGTCTCCCAACGGAATATTCCTAAGTGCAGGGAAAGAAATAAATATTAGATTTGTAAATTTATATATAAAATAATTTTATTTATTAAAATATAAAATAAAATTTCAAATTTTGTTTTATACCTATAATATTTTTAAAAAATTTCTTAGAGTGCATTTTAGGCCCTGTTTTTTGTCATTCGCTTAGCCCAGCAAATTAGCATTCAGCTAACATGTGTTTGGCTGTCAGTCTGGAAAAGCCCCTTCACCCTTTTCCTCCCATTTTTCCCCCATTTTCAAGCTAAGTGTGTCACATTAAATGATACGCAACACTTGACACCAAAATGAGCGAAAGAAGAAACTTAAACTAGAACTGAAAACCAAAGGAAATGGATGGAAAATGGGAAAAGAGAGACACGAGTGCATGGAAATGACGCTTTTCCGTACTTTATTAATGACTTGTTTTTCGGGAGGGGAAGTGGAAAATCAATAGGGGAAAATTAAATCTCTGAAACCGAAATGTTTCCCATACATTTTAAATGGTTTGGGAATACAATATTATTTTTTTTTTCGCATATCCCTTTGGCTTACACACATATGCAAATCAGGGGCCACAAAACGGAAGTTGATTTCAAGTTTCTTTTAGCCCAAGGGGAAAGACAAAGGTTTTTTATGGGCGTAGAAAAAAACAAATAGAAGTTGACTCAAGACAAACAAACAAGCAGAGGGCAAGTCAAGAGGTGACAGGAAACAGGAGGCGGAACGTGCTCAAGTTCGTGGGACACATCATCAGACATCCAGACATCAGACATCAGACTTAAAACGAGGTGGACAAGTAGTAGGCACTACGAAATCCGTTTTCCCGTTTCCGCACCCCTCAGTTTGAGTCAACCCGTCAGCGTCGAGACATTCGATTTTCAAAATAGTTCACCAAAATTACCAGTAAGAGAAGAACTGAGAAGAAATTTCAAGAAGAACTAATCAAGATGATCACCAACAAGTCCAAGCAGCGATCGCCAATAAAAGCGGTTAAAAAAACCTCCAAATCTCCGGCCAGCAAGGTCGCCAAGCCGAAGAAACAGCAAAAGAATTCCCTAAAGAATTCGCTGAAAAAACCTATGAAGAATCCCACAAAGAAGCAAGTGAGGCGTTCCCCATTGATGCGCACCGCCTTGCAGCCCACAATTTTGGGCACGGCCAAGGTAAAGAAACCGCTGGCCAAATCGCATGTGACCTTCAAGAAGAAGTCGCATCGCCAGAAGCCCATTGATGCCTTGCAATCCCTGGGATTGTCCCGAAAGACCAAGCTCATTGATGCCAGTCTACAGAAGAAGAACAGTCCTGGTACTCCGGTACTCTTTCTGCTCAAGGATGCAAAGACCCAGGAAAAGGGTGGCAAGAAAATGAAGAAGACTCCAATGGCGGGCAGAAGAAAACAATATTTAGATCACCGGTGGCTGAGACCCCAAATCGAGACGAGGGCCACCGAGGGTGTGGATTTCTTCTATAATCTCGGCATGCGTAGGCAGCAACCAGCCAAACAGGATCAGAAAGTGGGACTACGTGGAGGAGTAGCAGGACTTGAGGGCAGATTGGCGGGCGGAGGAGGAGGATCTAGATTGCCGGGATCAGTAAGGAACACCAACAATCCAACAGGCCTCTCGTCCATTGTCGGTGGTGTTGTGGCAGCCAAGGATGTGGTGGTTCCGCTGACCAGCCGACTGCCCATCATCGACTTTATCTCCACCAACGAGTTCCAAAATATGTACGCCAATTCCATCCGGAAGCCGCAGTCCCGGAAATTCGGCGACCGACGAGTGGCGAGTAATTAGTGGATATATTTTCTCAGCGAAATGGGTTCGCGGTTCAATGTTTATTGATTTTTAAGTATAAATTTGCCGTGATTTAAATGGATTTCTACTTAATTTCGCAATTTGTGTTGAAAGAAAAATTAATTAATAGTAACGAGTAGCGAGTGCGCATAGGTACTAACGATACATTATTCGGTTTATGTTTGTTATTATTCTGTGATTAATTCATAAAAGTAACGAGTGCTGCGACAGAGCAACGAGCAAATACAAGTAACGAGTGCTTTTGGCTAATAATCAAAATCTAAAGAATTCACGAAAATTGAATTATAAATCTGATCTTAATATGGGAAACCTTCGAAATGGGTAATGGATTCCGCAATCAACGAGTATGGCATTCTTGAACAACAACAAAAGCAAAAAAAACTTATCCGCACAACTTTCAAACGAACGCGAAACATTTTCATTTCGGTTGGTTTATTTGGACATACCAGAAATACATATTCCCAAATGAAATTGTTGGACAAGATGGAATGGGACTGGGTTTTGGGCGATGGGAAATGGGAATCGCGGATTGGGAGAGTCTTGGATTTTCGGTTGGATTTCGGGTTGGCTTCCGCGAGGTCGGCGGGCAGTAAGCGAACTTTTGCGCAAATTATCTGCGTCGCGTTTATTTCGCGCAAACAAATCGCAAAACTTTTGCAGACGGCGACCCAACGACTTGGCCTCCTGCTCTGAACCTCCTATTCCTCCTCCCTCCAATCTCATCATCGTCCTGGTGCAGTTGTAAAAGTTTTGCCGGCACAAAAGTTTCGGGGGCCAGAAATCCTTGCTCCCGGCATCGGTTTTTTCGGGGGCATCTTGCAGCAATTTACGGGAAGAAACTTGAGAAGCGAATGGAAGATGGAAGAACCAGGCAATTGATGCAGCACCACCAGAAGCAGCGGAAGCAGGGGCCTCAAAAGGGGTGAAAGGTCAGGGGGCTGAGAAATTCCCGCTACCATTGTTGTTGTTGCAATGAGAGTTTTTCGGCTTGTTTTCATTTTCGCCGCCGGAGAATTTGCATTTTGCCCAGAAGACCAAGACGACGACGACTGCGGCTTTTAACCGCAAACCGAACGGAAATTGAGATTCATTTAATTCATTGTGCGCCGAGCTGGATTTCTGGGGTGGCAAAGGGTTAAGCATTGTGTTACACGGTAAAAAAAAGGATGTTTTTAGTGGAAATTTGTAAAAAAAAGCCTATAAACAAGTGGTGGTTAGGATCTGGGTTTTTGGTAAAAATTTGATTTTTATACCCTTGCAGAGGGTATTATGATTTCAGTCAGAAGTTTGCAACGCAGTGAAGGAGACGTTTCCGACCCCATAAAGTATATATATTCTTGATCAGCATCACTAGACGAGTCGATCTAGCCATGTCCGTCTGTCCGTCTGTCCGTCCGTTTCTACGCAAACTAGTCTCTCAGTTTTAAAGCTATCGGGATGAAACTTTCGTAAAAGTCGTATTTCTATTGCAGGTAGTATATAAGTCGGAACCAAACGGATCGGACAACTATATCTTATAGCTCGCATAGGAAGGATCAAAAAAAAAAAAAACGTAAAAAAATTCTAGCTCCGGTGTTTTTTTAAATTTTACCTTCTACTCTTGGGAACATTTTTTTTTATATATTTCTGAATTTCGGTTTTTTTGTTTTTTAAATCGGATCACTATATCATATAGCTGCCATAGGAACGGTCGAAAAATTAAATGGAAATTAATGGGAAAAAAATTATATCTTTGTTGGTTTTTATTACAGTTTCTTCTACTCTGGGATATGACTATTTTGAAATATTTCCGAATTTCGATTTTAATTTTTAAAAGATCGAACTACTATATCACATAGCTGTGATAGAAACGATCGAAAAATTAATGTGAAATAATAAGAAATTTAACATTTTTGCGATTTGTAAATTAATAGAATGATCTGCAAGGGTATATAAGCTTCGGCTTGCCGAAGCTAGCTTCCTTTCTTGTTTTCTGTTTGTTTTTTTGCTGTAACTTGGCCAAAAATGGTCATACACAAAAAATACATACTGTTTTAAACAGATAACGATATAATAATTAAATCCATCACACTTTCCAGGTGATCTTGAAAAAATAAAATTTTTGCCAATTTTAATTTTTTTTTGTAAGGGGGTACAACATGATTTTTTTGCGAAAAATGGTAAAAAAATAAAATTTCCATGTTTAAGTGCCAATCGATTGGAAATTTAATAACGAGTTCAGAAAGGTATGACAATCCATATTTGGATCAATATTTCCATTGTTTCGGTCGAAAAACCAATTATTTTTTTGTGTAAAATTGGGATCTAGTTAAAAAAACTTTTTTTTGTTTTGTTGTAACTTGGCTTAAAATCATTGCTATATTGAATAGTTTAGTTTTTGAAGAATATTTTGTAAAAGCAGTTATTTGTTACGGTGCATGTGAAAACTTCGTTGACAGGCATAATCAGCAGGAACAGGAGAGAAAAAGGGGTGTACAAAGGAGGAGTAGCAGCAGCAGCAGGAAGAACTCTGGAGGATCTGCAACCACAACGACCGACAACATTTAAATGACTGCAGCGACGTCAACGGCAACGCCTTTGCTAATATTTATGCCCCGGGCTTTATAATCGTGGCCAGACCGTGATTCAGGCGGGGATTGGAGGGATTTTGAGACGGGTGGTGGAGTATAAAGGATGTGGAATGAAGGAGGGCCAGTGTCCGCCCGAAAGAACATGGCTGAAAGCGCACTTTTGGCCAGTCGAAAAAATCCTTGATTGCATTCAAGTTGAAGAGCAAGAGGAGGGGGTCTCAAAAGAAAAAAAAGGAGAAAAAAAAGAGCGGTGCCATCGAAGATGCCAATTGGAATGGAGACTCTTTGTGCGGCTAAGTGCGGCTGAATTGGCCAGGCTGAGAATGGGATTAGATAGAGCTCCCTTCCCCGAAAAATGGGGTTACGTAATATTCGACGGGGTTGAGCAGGGGTTAAATAAACCAAGATGCAGACAGACGATATAAAGCTTAATTATCTTGGAGAGCCATTAGGTTAACAAGAGTTTACAAGTTGTTTTACAAAAAGATGAGATTTAGAAAATAGAACTTATAAAGAAAATGTATAATTTATATATTAATTCAAAATAAAATTCTCTAGCTAATATAAGAATTTTTCTTTCGAAATTTCTTTATATCAAGGAAAGAATAAGATAGATAATATTTATTTAAGGCTAGTTACAGTGTGTTAACATTTACTCTCGACTAGATTCTGGACATTTCCAAATGTTTGTTCCGCCATCTCTTTGTTCTTTCTTTTTATTTTTTTTTTCAGAGGACCTTTAGAGACCTACGAGTGTCATCTCTCTTTTCTCTCCATTTAAATTGTGTGTGGCGAGCAAATTTGGTTTTCGCACGATTTCGTTTTGGATTTCGCATAAATTAATCATTGCCTTGCTCCAAATTTGTGCGGTCAAAATGTGGGAAAGTCCAGGGGCGTCGCAGTGGTTTTCAAAGGGGGTGCGCTTGCAAATGGTGTCATCTTGGATTTTACTGGCTTTATGGGGCATGAAATGGGGGGGCTGAAGTTAAACGCACAAATGCAAGTTGGTTATTTGAATGGGCCAACAGCAATTGATAAACCAATTATGCAGGATGCAAGTGACACTCGACGGCATTCGGGCCATGTGTGTCTATCCTTCTCTCTCTCTTTCCCTCGTTTGTAATATCCCTTTCCCTTTCTTGCCATATACATCTCACCGTCTCTTTCTCAGTCCCAGTTCCCATTTTCCATTTTCCATTTCGACCTGCTTATTGAACGCAATTACCTGACACAGTTCTGTAGTTTACGCAAAAACGATGTCAATGCACGGGTCAAAGTTCAGTTGAACAAAACACAGACAGAGACAGAGATAGAGACAGGGATAGAAAGAGAGCGTAATATATATATATATATTTTGTGGGGGTGTGCTTAACTTTCCTTTTCAGGACTTTGTTAATTAGGCAAGCCCCCGCCCAAAACCGATCCCAAAAAGCTGATTTCCCACAGTGGAGGCCATCCAACCAATTGACCCAGTAATCCGAGCCAGATAAACTTTCCCGAAAAAGAGAAACAAAAAAAATCGTACAGAATACTCGCAACAAAAGTGCAATATTAAAAAACAAAGACAAGTGCAGAAATCGAAAAGCAATGCCAAAAAGTTGCAAACTGAAACCGAAATCGCCTCTTAGACAAAAACAACGTAAACTCTTTACCTCCCGCACACAACAAAAAAAAAAACGCAAAAGTGGTGAACGGGGGAATACCCAGTGGTCAACGGTGTAATGGGTAACAACCTACAAAAGATTAATAACTCATTTCATTCTATATGGCTTATTAATTGTAAATTAATGTAATAATAAAAAACAACTTGGAAATACCAATAAAAAATTACATAAGAATGTAGAACAAACATTTTTTTTGTACATTTTGTTCTTTTTAATGTAGATTAAAGAAAAAAACTTGAGTGCATTTCTTAGCGATTAAAGCGTAATAGAAGGCAATTTTCCTATGGCAAATTGCCGTGAAATTATTTTAATATGGTTTGAGGCCTGGGAATTCTGAGAATGTTGCGATCAAGGACTGCGATTACAGGGTAGTCAAGTGCGGTAAGTGGACACCAGTGGGTGGTGGTGGTGACCTCGACCCGACTATAACATGTATTTGGTGGCCCATTGCTGTTTTTTTTTGCCGATTTCCCTCCTTTTTTTATTGTGATTTTTTTGTTTGTTTGTTTGTCGATGGAAGATTCGCGCTTACTGGCTTGACCATTGGGCAGCCAGTTATCGCAATCGCAATTGCTATCCATTTCATTTACCGCAGGACAAATTTTTATTGCTGACCCAAGCAGCAAGGACGTCGGCATTGTTTCAATATCTGTATATACATATATATACATAAAATTGCCGGAAAAGTTGCTGCAATTGTCCTCATTTTCTTTCAGTTAAGGACAATTTTATTTGTGTGTGGAGGGCCGAGGGGGTACACAATAAATGTTGTGCAACATTTTACATAAATAACAAGGACATGGACAGGACAACCCCCATTCCATTCCACCCCCCTCCTCAGTCTCATGTCCGTTTTGACAGTCGTCAAGTGCATTGTGCACTTTGCCAAAAACAATTTTGCATTTGCACTCGGTATTCAGCAGCGCCAGTCAAGGACACTCGACTGAATGTTTTCTGAATGAACGAGTGTTGTTCATACATATTCATATGCTCACGTGCGTGTGTGTGTGTGTTGTGTTCGAGTGGGCGTGTGTAACCACAAGTCAAAAGCCTGTTTAATTATGTTGACAATATGCAAATACCGGGCTTTTGGGACGGACGGCAAAAATAATTGCATTTCGGCTTGCGGTCCGCACTTCATTTTTATACACATTTTGCGATTAGGAAATTCGCAGTTTGCGTTGGATTTGGATTAATGGATGAAAAGTGCGGTCTTGTGTTTTTCATAAGAGACTCTTATGCAATTTCGTTGTGCAAATCTTGACAGTCGTTGCTATCCTTGACTTGTGGCCATTGACAAATTTAAAGTGCTTGATTGCCTTTTTCTTTATTTTTAAGAGCTGTACATTTATTTTGACTTTTGCCAGAGTAATTTAACATTTTTTTTCAATATATATAACTATCTTTTTTAGTATATTTCTTTATTTAAAAAAATCCACAGTAAAATCAAAGAGGAGTTTCTTTTACTTAATTTCTGTGAACAAAAATTGTATTCAATTTTTATAACATTCTATAAGAAATGTTGTATTTATTGGCATTTTTTCCCATCAATTGACTACAAATTGCGTATTGCACAGTCAAGTTTGACTGTATTTAAATGCTTCTATTCAATTGATTGAACATTTTTCACATCATTGATTTAATTTGTGTTTTATAAGCGTCTCCTCTGTTTAATTATGTAGAATAATTTGACTTTACAGCAGATTTCAATAGACGTGTGACGTTTAATAAAATGTTGTTATCCTGTTTATCTTTTCAACTTTGATTCGAAATTTTGCTTTGTGAATTTTGGCTTTGGTGATGCTTGATTTTAAAATATTATATATATTATATATATTATATTTGTATATATGTTTATATAATAAATTGTAGTTTATAATATTTAAATACAAGTTAAAATTAATGGTTTAATATAATCAATTGATTTAATAACTCAATTAAAATATTAATATTTATATCTACATTACAAATTATATTTTAATTTGTATTTCATAATATTAAATTATTATATTATTATAATTAATTGATTTATAAGCTCAAGCTGCTGGCACTTAAGCCCAGTTAGTTTTCCCCGACTTGGACTTTAAGCTGCGGTTTTTTGATGGTCTAATGGGCAATTTCGCCACGGGTAATTGGATTTCAGCGGGCGCAAATTGAAATCTGTTCCCGATTGATGGGCTGCAATTTGCGCAGCCTGATATTGACGGGCTGCCTAACCCCCTAGAACCAAACCCCTCTAAAACCAACCCCTGAAACCACCACCCCCTTTGAAGGCCACGGAATTAGCGGGCTCATAATGCGATTCATAATGATGGCGAGGCGTGTTAGTTAGGGAGTCGAGTCCCAATTGTTTCACAGACAATGAATGTCATGTGGTGATTAGCATTTTGAACTGCCAACTTGTGGGCTGGACTTTGGAGCAGGGAAATGGGGGAAAACCACCCAGCCAGCCAGCCAGCGAGTGTCGCTGACAATTTCCCAGGCTTTAGTTTGTCGTAATTTCGAATGCCAACTTGCTTCTCTTGGCTTTATTGTTGTCACATCAAATGCGGCGACTTGGCAATTTATGCTGACAGAATGTCTGCTCCGCAAAGCAATCCCAACCCCCTCCCCCCTTTCTGTAATTGGATAACATAATATTTAACTAATTTATTTGATATACTATACACAGTACTTGTGATAAATGGTCCAGTCTTCCATGTCAAGCATTTAAATGTAAATTCCGAATCTCGCATTTCGCATTTCGCATTGCAACTTCTGCAATTGCAATTTATGTCAGAAAGGCATTTCTGACATGACAAACCCCCGAAACACAGAGATGGGAAATGGGGGCGTTTTCAAAACCATTTCCCAATTTCCATTGTCGGAGGCGTGGTGGCCTAATCAAATTATCGCAAAATTCAATGAATTCGAAATGAGCAGCGTCTTTGAGTTTGAGTTTGAGTTTGAGTTTGCGAGAGAACGGCGTTCAAGTGGTCTGAGTCTTTGTCTGAGTCTTCATCTGAATGTCCAAGGATTGCCGATTGTCGGCGAACAATTATTTGATTTAATTTAAACTCGGAGATTGTCCTAATGAATTGCCCCAGTTGGCGATTAAGGCCGGATCGAAATGTTTGGCCGGCGAATAATTCAATTAAAATGATTGTGGTTGCGGTTCAAAATATCATAATAAGCTGATTATCTTTATTGATGTTAAGAGCAGTGAGTCTTTGCATTGAGTTAAAAGGAGAGAAAATTATGAAATAATAACAAAGGCATATCGGAAATAAATTAAAATCCAATTTATGTATGTATTTTATATGTTTTAAGATAT